GCTGACAGGGAGCTCTGGCATGGGCTGGTCCATCAGGTCACGAAGAGTCAGAAGTGACTGAACGAATAAACAAACAAACAAACAAACAAAAAACTAATATTGAAGTGGGATAGGATACTGATGGACTTCCAGTCCAGTTTACAGGGATAAATTAAAAAAAAAACCTGTTTCTTTTTTTTTTGTTTTGTTATAGTCACCTTCCTTATATTTCCTCCTTTTTTTCTTTTACTCCATCTGTGTAATTTTCTTTTCCTTAAGATATCTTCTCAATGGTTGTCAATTAGTCTTATTCACCAAAGAGTCTCTGTTCTTATTTTATAAATCTACTTTGAACTGGATTATATGGCAGTATGGACTCAGGCCCCTTTCACACTGCTGAACAAAATCCCTGATTATGTGCTTTGAACTGGAATATATGGCAGTGTGGACTCAGATAACCCAGTTCAAAGCAGGGCCCTTCCAGACAGGCCCTATAACCCAGAATATCAAGGCAGGAAATCCCACAATATCTGCTTTGAACTGGGTTATCTGAGTCCACAGTCAAATAATGTGGGATTTTCTGCCTTGATATTCTGGGATAAAGGGCCAGTCTGGAAGGGCTCTCAGGTAACCCAGTTGAAAGCATATATTGTGGGTTTATTTATTTATTGTGTTAGGAGCGAACCAAAACAGTTGTATTGCATTCAAAACAAACAAACAAACAAACAAAACACAAAGTTTGTAGGCTTGGTATTCTATTAAATGTCCTTTGACCAGTAGCTGGCCACTTGGAGTGCCTTTGGTGTCACTGTGAGAAGGTCCTCCATTGTGCATGTGGCAGGGCTCAGGTTGCATTGCAGCAGGTGGTCAGTGGTTTGCTCTTCTCCACACTCACATGTTGTGGATTCCACTTTATGGCCCCATTTCTTAAGGTTGGATCTGCATCTCGTGGTGCCAGAGCGCAGTCTGTTCAGCGCCTTTTGCGTTGCCCAGTTTTCTGTGTGCCCAGGGGGGAGTCTCTCATTTGGTATCAGCCATTGACTGAGGTTCTGAGTGTGAGCCTGCCACTTCTGGACTCTCGCTTGCTGAGGTGTTCCAGCGAGTGTCTCTGTAGATCTTTAGAAAACTATTTTTTGATATTGTGGAAGATCTGCATTGATATTCTGAGGGCCCTTCCATACAGTCCTATATTCCGGGATATCAAGAGAGAGAATCCCACATTATCCTAGTGTGGGCTCAAATAACACTATTCAAGACAGAAATCATGGGATTTTCTGCCTTGATATTCTGGGATATAGGGCTGTGTGGAAGGGCCCTGGGTTGTATAGCTGTGTGGGAGTGCCCAAAAACTTCGTTGGACTCTGCTGCAAGAGTGACCCTGGGGCCTGAGTATTGCCATCCAGCTTTGCTGCTTGCTCAGCTCTGGGTTTATGCAAGAGGAGACCTGTAGCCACACTCTCATTCCAGCCAGCTGACCCAGCAGGGAGAGAACATGGCCCCCGCAACCTTGCCGAGCTGCTACTTTAATGGCCGCACCATCCATTGCCTGGCTGCCGGAATACCTGCGCCGGGTGCCTCCATAGCCACACTGCCCATCATTTGGACATTGGAACACCTGTGTGGACACTCATTTTCGGGGTTCCCCTGCCTCTCCTTTTGCTTCATACCATTTCCATCAGCCCACCGTGCCTGTGATTGAATGTTTACTTTTAAGCTCTTTTTATATTTATATTTGAATTATTGTATGTTTACTTTTAAGCTTTTTTATTGTATTTCTATTTGAATTACTTCTAAGCTTGTTATTGTATTTATATTTGAATTATTATCTCATGTTTATTATTGTATGTTTAAATTGATATGTTGTTTAAATTCATAAGTTATGTTTATTATTATATGTGTTACTTTACTTAGGCGATCCCTCGTTGGCCGAGTAGGAGAGTCTTCCAGGATCAGAATTTTGTGAGTCTGTAGGTGGCTGTGGAGCCCTATTCTTGATCTGCATCTTCTTCCGCAGTGAGGGCATTGGTTTCCAGGTGGAAGGCGGTCCCAGTCGGGGTTGGCTTGATGCGCCTTCCTCTTGGCACATTTCTCTCTTTCACCCTCCATTCGTGCCTCTTCAAATTCTGCAGCACTGCTGGTCACAGCTGACCTCCAGCTGGAGTGCTCAAGGGCCAGGGCTTCTCAGTTCTCAGTGTCTATGCCAGAGTTTTTAAGGTTGGCTTTGAGGCCATCTTTAAATCTCTTTTCCTGTCCACCAACATTCCGTTTTCCATTCTTGAGTTCGGAGTAGAGCAACTGCTTTTGGAGATGGTGGTCGGACATCCAGACAACGTGGCTGGTCCAGCGAAGTTGATGGCGGAGGACCATCGCTTCAATGCTGGTGGTCTTTGCTTCTTCCAGCACGCTGACGTTTGTCTGCTGGTCTTCTCAAGAGATTTGCAGGATTTTCCAGAGGCAGCGCTGATGGAATCATTCCAGGAGTTGCATGTGACGTCAGTAGACAGTCCTCGTTTCGCAGACATATAGCAGGGTTGGGAGGACAATAGCTTTATAAACAAACACCTTGGTATCTCTATGGATGTACCAGTCCTAAACACTCTCTGCTTCATTCGGAAAAATGTTGCACTCGCAGAGCTCAGGCAGTGTTTTATTTCGGTGTCGATGTTGACTTTGGTGGAGAGGTGGCTGCCAAGGTAGCGGAAATGATCAACATTTTCTAATGTTACACCATTAAGCTGGATCTCTGGCATTGGGGAGGGGATGGCTGGTGACTGCTGGAACAGCACCTTGGTTTTCTCGATGTTAAATGACTGGCCGAGCTTCTTGTATGCTTCTGCAAAGGTGTTTAGAGTGGCTTGTAGATCTTCTTCTGAATGCGCACAGACGACGTTGTCATCAGCATACTGGAGGTCTATAACAGATGTTGTTGTAACCTTGGTTTTGGCTTTCAGTCTGCTGAGGTTGAATAGCTTGCCATCTGTCCGATAGATGATTTCCACTCCGGTGGGAAGCTTCCCATCAACAAGGTGAAGTATCATAGCGATGAAGATGGAGAATAAAGTTGCAGCAATAACACATCCCTGTTTGACACCCGATTCCACCTGAAATGGGTCACTTTGGGGGCCACTGCTGTCATTATATGTGTAATATGGATTGTATGCCATGGATTGTAAGCCACGCTGAGTCCCCCACTGGGGTGAGAAGGGTGGGGTATAAATGTAGTATAATAATAATAATAATAATAGGTTGTTGTAGGTTTTTCCAGGCTATATGGCCATGTTCTAGAGGCATTTTCTCCTGACGTTTCGCCTGCATCTATGGCAAGCATCCTCAGAGGTAGTGAGGTCTGTTGGAAGTAGGAAAATGGGTTTATATATCTGTGGAATGACCAGGGTGGGACAAAGGACATTTGTCTGCTGGAGCTAGGTGTGAATGTTTCAACTGACCACCTTGATTAGCATTTAATGGCTTGGAAGTGCCTGGGGGAATCTTTTGTTGAGAGGTGATTTGATGTGCCTGATTGTTTACTCTCTGTTGTTTTGCTGTTGTAATTTTTGAGTTTTTTAATAGTGGTCACCAGATATGGTTCAGAGATGTGGATGACACTTCACCATTTGGAGCCATGGAGAAGAAGAACTCAACAGGTTCCTGGACCATCTTAACAGCATCCACCCAAACATCCAATTCACCATGGAAAAAGAAAATGAAGGAAGACTGCCTTATCTAGATGTCCTAGTCATCCGCAAACCAGATCAACAATTGAGTCACACCGTCTACAGAAAACCCACACACACAGATAGATATCTACATAAAAACTCCAACCATCACCGAAGTCAAAAAAAGAAGCACCATTAAAGCCTTGGCAGACCGTGCAAAAAGAATCTGCGAACCCCACCTTCTCCAAGATGAACTGAACCACCTCAACTGGGCTTTACATGCCAATGGAGACTCCACCTCAGACATCAGAAGAGCTGCAAGACCAAGAACAAGCCACGAGATTAAAGACGAAGGTCCACCCAGAGGAAAAGTGTTCATCAAGGGAACCACTGACCACATAGGGAAGCTGATGAGGAAACACAACATACAAACCACGTACAGACCCACCAAGAAAATCCAACAAATGCTATGTTCAGCAAAGGACAAGAGGGACCCTCTCGCTTCTGCAGGAGTCTACCGTGTACCATGAGTCGCCAGTAGGCTGAGAATTGTGGTATATAAGCATAGTAAATAAATAAATAAATAATGCAGCTGTGGGCAAGTCTACATAGGGACCACCAAACGCAGCAGCATTGCCCAAACACGAATCAAGGAACATGAAAGGCACTGCAGACTACTTCAACCAGAGAAGTCAGCCATAGCAGAGCACCTGATGAACCAACCTGTACACAGCATATTATTTGAGAACACAGAAATGCTGGACCACTCTCACAACCACCATGTCAGACTACACAGAGAAGCCATTGAAATCCACAAGCATGTGGACAATTTCAACAGAAAGCAGGAAACCATGAAAATGAACAAAATCTGGCTACCAGTATTAAAAAACTCTAAAATTACAACAGCAAAACAACAGAGAGTAAACAATCAGGCACATCAAATCACCTCTCAACAAAAGATCCCCCCAGGCACTTCCAAGCCATTAAATGCTAATCAAAGTGATCTGTTGAAACATTCACACCCAGCTCCAGCAGACAAGAGTCCTTGGTCATTCCACAGATATATAAACCCACTTTMCTAGTTCCAACAGACCTCACTACCTCTGAGGATGCTTGCCATAGATGCAGGCGAAACGTCTGGAGAAAATGCCTCTAGGACATGACCATATAGCCCGGAAAAACCTACAACAACCCAGTGATTCCGGCCACGAAAGCCTTCGACAATACAATAATAATAATAATAATTGGGAGGCGCAAAGCCGGGCTCTCGCTTTAAGGCGACGCCGGAGGAGGGGCTTCGGGAGAGAGGGCAGGGATTGGCTGGGAGGGAAGGCACGCGCGCAGGAAGGAGCAGCAGTAGCCGCTTTCCGGAAGCACAGGGCTTTCCCTCTTCCCTCCCTCCCTCCCTGCCTTGTTATCATTGCCTCGCTTCTTCCCTGCAGGTGTGTCGGCGGGCACCATGGCCCAGCGGGCCTTCCCGAACCCCTTTGCCGACTATGACAAGTCCCTGGCCGCAGGATACTTTGACTCCTCCGGGAGGGTGAGTCCGGCCCCTGCCTTCTCTTCTGCCAAAGGGAGAGAGAGGGAAAGAGGAGCATCCCTTTACTGCCAGGCTGGGATGAGCTGGGAAAGGCCAAACCCGCTTCATCTAGAACGTCAGTTGTTCAGTTGGAAGGCCAGTGGGCTTGGCTGCGTTTGGAATGGCCTCAGAAAGTAAATAGGCAGTTTATGTAACCATGGCTGTCTCTCAAGTCCCTTCTGCACTGCCATATCCATTCCATATTAGGTGCTTTGCCCTGGTGCCCCTTCCAGACAGCTGAATGAAATGCCACACTTTCTGTTTATATGGCAGTGTGGACTCAGATAATCCAGTTCGAAGCAGATATGGTGGAAGATCTGCCTTGATATTCTGGGTTATAGGGCTGTGTGGAAGCGCCCTGGATAATATGGCAGTGTAGTCTCAGGGCCCTTCCACACAGCCATATAATCCAGAATATCAAGGCAGGAAATCCCACAATCTCTGCTTCGAAATTGATTATCTAAGGGCCCTTCCACACAGCCCTATATCCCAGAATATCAAGGCAAGCATTCCCAGAATATCTGCTTTGAAATTGATTATCTAAGTAAGGGCCCTTCCACACAGCCCTGTATCCCAGAATATCAAGGCAGGCATTCCCACAATATCTGCTTTGAAATTGATTATCTAAGTCAGGGCCCTTCCACACAGCCCTGTATCCCAGAATATCAAGGCAAGGATTCCCACAATATTTGCTTTGAAATTGATTATCTAAGGGCCTTTCCACACAGCCCTATATCCCACAATATCTGCTTTGAAATTGATTATCTAAGTCAGGGCCCTACCACACAGCCCTATATCCCAGAATATCAAGGCAGGAATTCCCACAATATCTGCTTTGAAATTGATTATCTAAGTCAGGGCCCTACCACACAGCCCTATATCCCAGAATATCAAGGCAGGAAATCCCACAATATCTGCTTTGAAATTGATTATCTAAGCAAGGCCCCTTCCACACAGCCCTATATCCCAGAATATCTGCTTTGAAATTGATTATCTAAGGGCCCTTCCACAAAGCCCTATATCCCAGAATATCAAGGCAGGCATTCCCACAATATCTGCTTCGAAATTGATTATCTAAGGGCCCTTCCACACAGCCCTATATCCCAGAGTATCAAGGCAGGCATTCCCACAATATCTGTTTTGAAATTGATTATCTAAGGGCTCTTCCACACAGCCCTATATCCCAGAATATCAAGGCAGGAAATCCCACAATATCTGCTTTGAAATTGATTATCTAAGGGCCCTTCCACACAGCCCTATATCCCAGAATATCAGGGCAGGAAATCCCACAATATCTGCTTTGAACTTTGAGCTTTTGGGATACATGTGAATCTTGGATGGTGAGGAGCATGGACGAAGAATCAATGGATACAGAGGACTGATTTATTTTTTGCTGCATGGTTTAAAGTCAAGCTCATGCTCCACTTCAGTTTCTAGATTAGAGGAATGGAGTTCTAGGCTGTGGTTTAAGGGGAAAATATAGGAAAGAGGGAAAGGTAGGATCAGTTATTGAAGACTCATCAACACAACTCTGTTATAGCAAAGTGATTCTACTTTAACCCACCATAGAGACATCCTGTAAAATCCTAGGATTTACAGTTGAGTGAGAGGCCTTTGTGACCTCCAGCTGAGCAACTCTTTGATATCTCTGATCAAACTTAAAACCCCATAGGATGTTGCAGACCATCAAAATAGAATTGTCAGGCTATTATTAAGAAGTGTGACAAAGTCCTGAGAAGCAATCCTGGGAAACCATGGACATGTTTGCTCTGTATTGATGGGGAGCATTGCATTAAACCTTCTCTGGCTGTGGCTCCCTGGGACAATATCAGACAACTTTTTCTCACCTCTTTGTACCACATGCATATATTTCCTCACTAAGTTACACAGAGGGCCATCATCTCAGGCCTCTTCTACATGGATTGCCTGCTTTGAACTGGAGTATATGGCAGTGTAGACTCTCATAATCAGTTCAAAGCTGATAATATGGGTTATCTTCTTGGATGATCTAGATTATATGGCAGTGTAGGAGGAACCTGAGTATATGGGCTATCCCCTTTTGCATTTCAGATTTACAGTGATAACTAAAAAGTCAAGATGAGAAGACCTGACTCACCTTTGCTGAAAGGTGTGGCATAAAAACATGTCCAAGAAAGCTAGGAACTTCCCTAAGGCAAGATGCGTTCAGAGTCACACCTCATTTTTTCCCCTGAGATAAAACTATGTTTCCATGGCAGAATTATTTTTACCTGGGTGGTGAATGCTATGCAAAGTCTTTATGACTCCCACAAATGTAAGCATAAAGGGGCTCAGGGACAATTTCACAGCACTTCATTATTCAAAGTTTGTATTCTTATTTTTGATATCCAAAAGTCATAGGAAGTGCTTTCATTGGGCATAACGTTTGTTGGAATGATGACCAGGAATCCTGAACCTTTATATATAACAGACATTGAAAGTTAAGGCAAAAGAAGCACTAATTTTGGAAAGTTCTTATTTGGCAAGCCATAGTTGGATTGGAAATCTATTGATGCTGATTTTAGGACTCCTAATAATATTAGTGTGCATCTGATCCCACAGATAAGTTCGATTCAAAGGCACTTTCCCACATGCAATGAAGGCTTTCTCTTTCCTATTCCACCACCACAGTCATCCATTTGCTTTTGCTGTTTTGATGTCTGCTGGGGGACTAGAGAGAACACCTTAGACATTTTGTAAACAGATATGATGTCCAGGCATTTTCATATACTACCTAAGATGCCAAGTGGGATGACTAGCTAAATTCTGGACAAATCCCATGATATGTTAAATATGCGATAGCAGTGTATGCAGAATAATATAGCATGTAAGATTATGGTTTTAATTGTACAGAATTTCATAGGGACTTTAAGCTTAACCCTTAGTTTGAAATACGCTACCTTGAGAACAATCCAACAAAGTGTAATAGCTTGAATATTTATTTATTTATTTATTTTATTTACAGTATTTATATTCCGCCTTTCTCACCCCGCAGGGGAGGGGATTACAATGTACATATACATGGCAAACATTCAATGCCATAGACACACAACATATATAGACAGACACTCAGAAGCTATTTAACATTCCAGCTTCTGGCCACCAGGGGAGCTGTCCCTTCACAGTGCGTTTGTGACACTGATCCGTTGTGACCCAGGCCTAGTACTTAAATTTCCTACTTGACAGATGCAACTGTCTTTCAGGCTGCAAAGGTCGACAGCAAGCTACACAAATTGGTCGGAAGCTCACTCCAACCCAGGCTGGCTTTGAACTCATGACCTTTTGGTCAGTAGTGATCTTAATGCAGCTGACTCCCAGCCAGCTGCGCCACAGTCCTGGTGCTGGACACGGACAGTGGGAGAGCAGTGTTTGGATCACCACTCAGCCATGGAAACCCATTGGGTGACATGCTCTGAGCCTCAGAGGAAGGCAAGGGCAAACCCTGTCTGAAAAAAGCCCAAGAATACCATATAATAGGATGCTCAAAAGTCAGAAATGACTTGAAAGCACACAAGAACAAATCTTACGGACAGTATGCAAGGGCTTGAATTAAGAATTGATTTGGTCTCATAGGCAAATCGGCTTCTTAATCTCTGCTCCCCATCTTAAAATCAGAAAAGTCCATTTCCCCAAACTGTGACGGGAGGAATGAAATACAGATCACAGGGTGCCCTTCATCCTACACCATCTGCATGTGATTTGGGTTTTTCTTTGACTTTTCCTCTGACGTTTCTCTCTTCTATGAATAAGGAAAGATGTGTGCATGCATTTAGACCATCCGAAAATAATCTTCTTCAACATCAGCTGTGTTTATCGGAATTGAAATGCAGTGCCAAAGGGAAGCCAAGCATCTGCAATAAGCCCCAGCCTCTCAGCACCTTTTGCAGATGTTTTCCTGTTAAGCTCAGCTCTCCAACTGGCTTCTTGGCTACCATTTGTTCTTTTCAGCATCTATATGAAACCTTCCCTTCTTTTTCAAAAAAGCCCTGTAGAGTAATCTTCTATTTAACAAACTATTTTACACAGCAGCACAATTTTGCTTCAGTGTATGTGACAGTAAACACTAGAAGTATGAAGAACGGAAACATGTTCCTAAATGCTTAGACATAGTAAACTTTCTCAGTGATAGGCCCTGATTCCTTGGGCCATGCCTGACAAAATTTGCACTCTTTTGAGCTTGTCACTGATGTGCCCATGATACCTCTGGTCTTGCAGTAGATTTGTCCTGCAGTTGATTTCTGGTGAGTCAGCATGGGCTGTCAAGCAGCATCGTAAAGTGCTATTTCCATCCTTTTTGTCAAACTGCAGCCAACTAGCAGAAAGTACCACTGAAAACTTGAGTAGCCTCTGAGGGCCCCTCGGGGAACAGCAGTGCTGTAGCCTGAAGGTAATGAAGGTATAGGTAACCTAGGTACCCTTGGAGGAATACGGCCTTAAATATTTAAAACTAGATTTATAAACATAGATAACTGAAAGAAAAGCAGGCTTAAATCAGTTAGAGTCCTGTCTTAGGGTGATTGGGGATTTTGATTTCGTATCCCTCTTTTGGTTATTTCTTCCTGAGCAAGCAGTTCTTTGTTTCCTTGAGCTATCCGAAGGAGATCCAACTCACTCTTTTGAAAGTGCTGAGCATTTTAAAGCATCGTATGCATTGCCAAGCTCTTTTGCTGCAATTTAGTAAACCGCAGTGTGTCATCTGAAATGTAACAGTGGTTTTTCTATTCCCACCCACAGCTGACTCCTGAGTTCACACAACACCTAAACAATAAGATCAGAGAGCTTCTGCAACAGATGGAAAGGGGGCTCAAATCTGCAGACCCCAGAGATTGCACTGGCTATACAGGCTGGGCAGGTAGGATGATGGATCTACAAAGATATGTGAATTTAATGCATCTGTCATTCAGCTAAACTGTATGTCTTTGCCCACAAAGACTTAGATCAGGGATGGAGAATTTGTTGGCCTTCAGTTGTGGGGCTGCAGTTGTTATCTGTTAAATCTGGAGAGCTGCACACTCCCACTCCTTGATTTAGGAAATGCTGAGTGGACATGAAGATAAAATCCACATTGATTATATGGCAGTGTGGACTCAGATAGGGCTCCGCAGTCACCTACGGACCCACCGCCAGTGCACTGACCCTGGAAGACTATCCTACTCGGACAATGAGAGATCGCCGAAGAAGAGAAAGAAGAAGAAGAAGTTGTTGTTGTCAGGTGCACCTAGTACCGCCAAGAGCCAGTGATGGTGGCTTTGGCTTTTGGTTTACTGGGTCTCTCATTTCCCATCAGGAAGTTTGAAAGGTAGAAAGCTGTACTGTTTAAAAAATGAGGAAATGCAAGTGACATTTGCCAGAGAAGTGTGCTATTTGTTGACAATATAGAAAGGAAGCATCCTTGGTGAAAAATGAAGAAAAATGAGCCCAAAATGGACCTCCTTTCATTTTTTCAGGAATCCCTGTTTTTATTTCTTCCTCTGTTTCTTATGTATCCTTACCTCTTCTCTTTGGTGCTAATTTTGCCCACTCCTCCCCTTTCCTAGTTCCTCACAGTCCTGAAGAAGAAATTTAAGAGGCTTTTGTAAGGGCTAATGTAACCTACTAAAGAACGTCTGCTGTTACATCTTTAATTAAGATGCTTGAGCCTCAAACTATGCTGAGTCTAGTAAAATAAGGTTTTTGTAAAGCTATCCAAGTCTAATCCTTCTTTTTTGTTGACTGCAGTAAAACATACCATATTACATATTACTGTCTTTGCTTTATGCAACGATTAGGAATTATTAGACTGGATCACTTTTTATCTATAAAGCAGCAAATTGAACGTTTGCTTAAGGGAAGAAACCTAAATATTTACATATGAAACTGTTTCTTCTGCATAGTTTGCTGCCAAAATTAGCATGTAGGTGGCAAACCCTATTTGCATATTAAATGAAGATAGTTTGATGTCCTCTCTTGGTAAAATATTAAATTATAGCTGGGACGTATTGTGTGCCTCTGTTTATACTTGTTCCTTTTGACTCAAACTAATTGTAGTCAGTCCTCCACATTTGCAGGTTTCACTTTTGCAGATTTGATGATTCGCCAGTTTGATTAATACATTCTGCCTAGCAACCTTATCACATTGGGATATAATCCGTTTACATCAGTATGCATCCCTTATTTTTTTAGGACTGGATGCATACTGTATTGAGACAGGATGTATACTCTCCTCATCACACCTGATTATTACAATTCTTATGATTTGAAAATACTGCGCTTTGACTCATCACACCACGGAAGGCTGGTTCCTCCCAGTCCATTCAAAACACCCCTGCATCACACTATGACCTTTTAAAAAGTATCATTGCTAATGGGGTGCATACAGATTTTCCTATCACACACAAAAACAGTGCTTCAGCAACGGAAGAATCCATAGTTTCAAAAAACACAATTAGAATTCCATCTGCAAATAATCCGTGTTTGCGACACTTTGCAGACAGCTTCCAACGGAATACTGACTGGATGGGATAAACATCATGTGATGGGACCTGTCTGAAACCTGTCTCAGTCTCAGAAATGGAATATTTCTTAATGTGATACGGTCCTAGGAATCTCTAGATCAGGGGGAGGGGGGTCCTCAAACTAAGGCCTGGGGGCCGGATACGGCCCTCCAAGGTCATTTACCCGGCCCTCGCTCAGGGTCAACCTAAGTGTGAAACGACTTGAAAGTGCACAACAACAACAACAATCCTATCTCGTCAGCCAAAAGCAGGCCCACACTTCCCATTGAAATACTAATAAGTTTATATTTGTTAAAATGGTTCTTCATTTTAATTATTGTATTGTTTTTAAGTGGGTTTTTTTGCACGACAAATAAGATATGTGCAGTGTGTATAGGAATTCATTCTAGGTTTTTTTTTTCAAATTATAATCCGGCCCTCCAACAGTTTGAGGGACTGTGACCTGGCCCTCTGTTTAAAAAGTTTGAGGACCCCTGCTCTAGATCGTCCAGACACTGATTCACTTTATTTTATAGTGCAACTAATGCTATTCAGAAACAAATCCTTCAGTTAATATAAGTTCAACCAAAAGAACTTGAGTTAAATGTTGAAAAGTCGAACTAATGCTTAACATTGACTTATTGTTCTTTTATCTATCGCTGAGAGTACTTTGCATGTTTTATTATGTATAGCCTACATATATTCAGTTCTAATAGGAATAATTAGTAAAACAAATTAGTGTTTTATTGGAAGATATAAATCACATCAAAGCTTATTATAATCAGTTTTTTAAAGTAGCCTTTTAAAGCAAGTTCTTTTAGTTGAACTTCCAGAATTGTTAATGGTAGAAAGTAGTAAAACATAGTTTGTCAAGCTTTTTAACACAGAAAATAATGTTTCATGTTAAAATGAGACCATGACCAGGCCCGTAGCTGGGGGGTGGGGTCTTTAAGGGTTTAACCCCCCTCCCCCGAAATGAGTCAGGTTAAAAAAACTGGTTTACTCATGAATTGGTTAACTAGTTAATGTTCATGAGCAAACCAATTTGTTTTAACCTGACACATTGAGTCTGAAGAAATGTGGTTTAAATATAGACATCGTTGTTCAAGGACAGTTCTTACACTTCCTGTGCAAAGGGTTATTCTCTTCTGTGGACATCTTGTCCCTGACCAGTGGTGTGTTAACCCAGTCCTATGAAAATGACTGCATCCTACAATTGGTCTTTCTTTTCATAAGAATAGTTTCAAGTACACATTTTTTGAAGATGTGGCTAATGGTAACCGGCCTCTACACTGCCCTCACTGGGAATGCTAAAACTGTGAATGCCTAGAGAACAGACAAGGTTATTAACTTCAGCAGGATATGGAAATTTGCCCGTAATATACATGGAGAATTGAATTGTCTGTGGTGTGAAGCTTTGGAGATTACCCATGCAAAATGAGAAAATGATCTCAATTTAAAACTCTCCCCAGTACAGTGGAAAGTAATTTTGAAGGCTGCTCCTTTTTTTCTTTCATTTTTTTTAGCTGCATTGAAATCTGCCAACACCAGCTCTCTTAATTTAGTCTTAAATGCAGAGACCTGTGTTAATGGTTAATGAAATGGAAATACGCTGCAAGGGATAAAATGAGAAATCTGGAAATGATGCAGGCCGCTGGGTCCCATTACATTGTTTGAGGATGCCCGCAGACCTGTCTTTGGTTCAGTTTTCCAACAAGCAGGGTTTTGTATCCTGTGACAAATTGTTTGAAAGAAGTTATACCAAAGGCCTTTCAGCTGAACGTAACACACGCTCCATAGAGCTCTATTTATGCGGGATGGTCTTGCTATTTCTGATATCCACCCCACGTGAATCAGTGTTGCTGTCTGGGCTTTGGGGAATATTTTAAGTATCTGTTTAAAATATTATTGTGAATTGCCAGTTAGATTTCCTGCAAAACATTCTTTACGGAAGAGGTGAGAAGTGGAGAGTCTTTTAGGTGTTTTAAATAACATTTCTTATCACTAGATACACAAAAACATTTGGAGAACTGCATGATGACCACCAGCCTTATGGCATTGTTTATTTATCTTTCATATTGGTGTAGCTTTCCCAAAGCTCACAAGTCCATAGCAGAGACATGATTTGAAGTCTCCCTCAGGGTGAGAAAAGTGGTATACAAATACTGTAAATAAATAAATAAATAAGATCTGGTTTGCCTCTCATACCAAACCGAAGTCTTTAAACCAGCAAACAGGAAATAGAAGGACAACAAGTTGTTGAAATGTTTTGTTAATGGCATATCCCTTGATTGTGTCATCATACATTCAGCTCATGATTAACCCCACATTAATACTAAGCCCATTTTAGGCATTACAGTTTGAATCTCAGGCCATATCTTTTGCAACCCTTACTGCTTCTGTATATAAAGGAATCTACCTAAGGGTGCTCCTACATGGTCAAATTAATTCAGTTTGATACCATTTTAACTGCCATGACTGGATAACATTGAATCCCGGGAACTGTAATATGATGTGTATTTGATAAAGAAGGTTTAAAGACTTTGTAAAAAAATGATTCCATAGCATTGAACCTATGGCAGTTAAAATGGTGTCCAACTGCATTAATTAATTCATAATGGAGCCCCTGGTGGTGCAGCAGGTTAAACCACTGAGCTGTTGAACTTGCTGACCAAAAGATTGGTGGTGCGAATCTGGGGAGCAGGGTAAGCTCCTGCTGTTAGGCCCAGCTTCTGCAAACCTAGCAGTTTGAAAACATGCAAATGTGGCTAGATCAATAGGTACCGCTTTGGGGGGAAGGTTGGCCACATGACCTTGAAGATGTCTACGGACTACGCTGGCTCTTCAGCTTAGAAATGGAGATAAGCACTACCTCCCAAAATCGGACACGACTAGACTTAATGTCAAGGGGAAACAGTTACCTATGTTCATAATATATGAAAATACTGTAACACTAATTTTATTTTTATAATTTAAAATAACACATGGTTTGAGTGTTTGATTAGAACTCTGGAAGGCCAGGATTTTAGTTACATAACATCCAGGCAGTAAACTGAGTAGTGTTCTGTTTTTCCTAAATCTTTTTTCAGGCATTGCTTTGCTATACTTGCATCTGTATGATGTGTACGGAGACTCGTCCTTCCTTCAGATGGCTCAGGAGTATGTCAAGAAGAGCCTTGGCTGCCTAACAAAGCGATCCATCACCTTTTTATGTGGGGATGCTGGACCTTTGGCGGTGGCTGCTGTGGTATACCACAAGCTGCAGAATGACAAACAGGCAGAAGACTGCATTGCTCGGTAATGTCTTGGGAATGTGTGAGAGGATGGCTTCTCTTGGATGTTGGGCATTCAACAGCATAAGTTTAACAGTCTAAATTTCATGGGGAGTATTGCATCAGAAAACTGGGGCAGAGAGGATCATCTCTGTTTCCCGTTGGAGCCCTCCTTCCCACCTTCCTCCAGGATCTTCACCAAAGGTCTCCAGAGTCGGATCTTGCAAGTAGAAATGGGGAGAAGAATGATTGTTTAGCTGGTGCTGCAGCACCCATGTGGTGTGGGATATAGGCCAGCGTATCATCAAGTGTAGGCAAGGTGAATATGTGGAAGGAAAACAAAGAGGCCTCTGCAATTCTGTTTTCATGGGAACTCAAGCGTATTGAGGAGATGCAGCATTTCATTGTGTCAGGTTGGAAGAAACCCAGTGTAGCTTGTTGCCAATGTAGCATATACTGAGATTATTGGAGGAGGAGGGGACAGGCAGAGTTTTTATAAGGTATTTTTTGTGTGCATTTATATTTGTACAATGTAATTCATTTATCAAAATATTTACACAATTTACCTAGTTCTCAATACGTAATTGAATATAATGCAGTTGTGAACTATTCTTCAAGTGTTGCAAACAGTGCGACCAATTCTGGTATGTGCTAGGAGTTGCAATAATTGAATAGGTGTTTCTTGAATCTTATCCATAACTAAGGGGTCTTCTTTATCTTTAGTAATTTAGCTATAT